ACCATGTTGGAATCAATAGCAATAGATTTTAAGTAATTTTTATTAATGGTCCCTTGATGAAACGTATATATTTGTTGCTAATCAAAAAATTGGAGTGGACTACACCCTGAGGCAGCCAGAAGAAAGATCTAGCCATCTACTTTTGAAAATCAAACATTGAAAGTCCTGTGTAACACAGTTCTGTTCTTACTCACATGAAGTCACCTTGAGTCAGAATTAACTCAGTGGTAACTAGATTATTGTCACTAACACTTATATACTACTTTACAAAGTGCTTTTTTCAGAGCAATAACTCTAGTATCAGAGATTTCAGCAGTTTTTATAGGTTTTATCACTAAATCTGCAGAACTATCTGATCAATTTTATAGCTGAAGAAACTGAAGGCTAAGTAATTTATGTAACAACAGCCAGAAAATAACAGAATCAAGCACAATCCCAGGCATTTTACCCAAATTCTATGCAGTTTCTCCTACAAAGACTCATAACTAAATGAAGGATGCAACTATGGTGGCCTAGTAGTAAGAAGTTGCACTGCAATTTCAAAGGCACACACTTCTAATTCATCAGCTGCTCCATGGAGGAAGAATGGACAGTCTCCTCCCATGTGATTTAATGCCTCTAAAAACCCACTGTAGGGTCAGCTATAAGTCAGTTCCAACTTGACAGCACTCAACAGCAGCTTATACCAGAAGGGTACTACTCATACTGCCGAACCAGAATTCTAGGTATTGAACTTTTCTTCAACTTAAAAACAAAGTACTTTTCTAAAGTTCATCTGCAAAATAGTGAATGGACAGGAAGAAGGAAGAACACATTTCACTTGGCAGATATTTCTTTAGTTCCTGGGTCTGGATGGGTAAATTTATAAAAATGGTTAGAGAAAGATAAAGGAGCCTTGGTAGCACAGTGGTTTTAAACACTTGGCTGCAAACTGAAGGCTCAGAAGTTTAAACTCACTAGGAGAAAGGTATGACAGTCAGCTTCCATAAAGATTTATAGCTTTACAAACTCTGTGGACCAGTTCTACTCTGTCCTCCAGGATTGCTGTTAAGTCAGAATCATCTCTGTGGTAAGGGTTTGAATTTTGCTTATAGTAAGGAAAACAGACACAGAAATTGTATTGCCATATGAGAAGGGATAAAAACAGTTGAGAGATAATGTTTGTGAGATGATATTTTACAAGATATTTTATACTATGTAAAGAAGTTTGAGCTTTAGTGAACCAAGAATCATTGTAAGATCTTAAAACAATAAAATTTAAAATACTCAATTCTTGAATTTATCTCACATAATTTGGGTATGTTGTTAGAAGAATCTGTTCCTTGGAAACGGACATCATACTTGAAAAGGTGTAGGATAGGAGAAAGAAAGACCCTTAGTGAAATGTATTGACATAGTGACTGCAGCAATGGGTTCAAGTTTGTCAGAAATGATGAGGATGATACAGGATAGGTCAGGATTCAGATGTGTTGTTCATAGGGTCACTATAAGTCATACTCAACTCGACAGCACTTAATAGATTTGGCAGCATTGTAAAAGATAGATTGTTAGTACCAAGCCTGAACTCAGAACACCAAACTGAAAAGTACCACCATTCAGAGAAAATATGGTGATACCTTCTTGAATTGAGAGTTGCATATAGATGAAAGAGGTTTAGGAGAATGGTGATATTTAAGCGACAACTCTGTTGATCATAGGGTTGCTCTGAGTTATAATAGACTCCAGGGCACCTAACAACAAGATGTTCAGATTAAGAAAGAGGGAGACATGTATAGTTACTTACAAGTTCTAAGTTGGTTGACTAGGTGGCTTATAATAATATCATTAACGTTTAAAGTGTGATAGAATAAGCAAGGAAAGGGGCATTATCCAGTAGATAGTTGGCAAGGTTTAAGTTTGAGTATAATGTCAGCATTCATGTAAGTCAGAAATGATGAGTGTTGAATATTTATTTGGAGGTATGAAAGATGAAATAAGTCTCCCATGTAAACTTCTAGGAGATTCGTAATTTACAGTTTTCCTGAAGGCCTACATTTGATGACCAGAACTGGACCATGTGGTACAAACCAAAAAAGTAAGGAACCACACGGATTTTTAACTGAGAACATTAAGGAAGAAAGAGAAT